TAGGCGACAGCAATGCCGAAATAGCCCTACAGCTATTTCGTATAAAATTACTTCACTGATCAAAGAACTCGGTGGCGTCCTATTTTCAGGTCACGGCATTCATAAGGCTAAAGGGCCCCGGAGCGAAAAACAAACTGTTCACGAAAATTATTTATAATCAATGGAAACAGTGTGGTCTAGAAGATGTAAACAACTTTTACCAAAAAATCCAAAACCATAATACATACCTACAGATAATTATTTCAGGTATCGGCTATGTACACAACTGCTCCAGAAAACACGAATACACATATCACATAAAATATTGTATATTATTATAATATACAATAATATTATATCATATTATCATAACTAAGATGGTATCTTGTAATGCAATGTATAAGAAGTATAAGTATAACATCAATATTATTTTATGAAGCTTTTAATTCAGTTTAATTCACAATTCGCTTGGACATTTCCTGTAGGTATGCCTATAGATTCTTAGCTGCTGCATTTATTTTGTTTAAATAAACATATGTTTTATTCATTTTTCTTTTGATGTCAAGACTGCGTCACTTCATTACTTAGATATAGTAATAATATATAGTCAATCTTCAGTCTTATGATTATGAAACAAAATTAAATTATTATCTTTAGTATAAATATTAGTATTTTATATATTATATAATGTATGGTGATTTTACCAGCCTGCAAGGCTGTAAATATCAACTGTTTTTTATTTTTCAAAGAAGGGTAGAATGAATTTCTATGATTCTAAATAATATACATAGTGTGTAACTAAATAGACAAATATAAATTCTTCAAAACAATACTGGAAGATGAAAGGGTTGGAGATGTAGCCGATACCATGGATAAACTCTCCAGATTAACCAACTAAATTTTTATAAATTTGGTAATAATTTTATTAGATGGTGACCATTAAGGTTATCACTTATCAAGGTGGTATAACCACAATTTAGAAAAATAAGCTGTATGTATAAAACACGAAGAATATAATTATTTATTATGCTAACTAAATTAACGACGAAGTCAAGGAAAATCACTTGTTTTCATACAAACAAAAACCTATCATCTTAATATAATATATATCACTTTAATAATTTTAGATTGCGATTTAAATAATATTTTTTCTACCAATGAATATTAATGATATTTGATATAGCTTAGAAAGTAAATTTTAAAGTTTAAAAAGGGGGAAATATGTGTTTAATCGTCATGTGTCAAGTATATCTCGTAATTGAGTCACTATGTAATGTATTACGTGTTCATCATCATTGCATACGCAAAACGATTCTAAGAGAAGATCTCAGCCTATATTACTAAGAATATATAATTGTAATATTATGATACATTTTTTTTGTTATTGTAGATGAATTTTGAAAAAATTTGAACTTCACTAAAAAAAATTGTGATTATCTATTTTCGATATTTTTTAATAATTTTTTATTCATTTAGTAATTATTTATTTATGATGAAGCTTGGTGTTAAATTTTCAAGTTTTTATCATAATAGATAAATCAAAAAAAAAAACTTTAAAAAGGTTAAAATTTAAAATACATGCAAATAGCACGACAAATTCCAAAATATTTTGAAAATTATTTCATGTCTAGTCAAATATGTTGAAATGATTATTCACTGAAAATGTAAATTGTCTACTGTTTGTAGGCAAACAGCTTCTCATTTTTGATATAATAATTACAATTTTTCCATAATATTTTTTTTTGCTTAAAATATATTTAGTTTTAATTTATTTTTACTTATTTTGAAAACTGAGAATTTTCAACTTCCCAAAATGACCAACTAGATCCAATTTTCCAACCAGAAACGATCCTCAAAGTTAAAAAACAAAGTCATTTTTGGTGCTCCCAAGCGTAACGACACCAGACTCAAATATTTAAAAAAAAACACATATCATTATAAATAAGTCAATGCATCGCTTTGCTCAGAGTCTAAAATATTCTATGTAAATAGTACAAAATAATTTATTTAAAATCATTAAGCCATACCAAAAGTGAAAAAAAGAGAAAAAAATTTGAAAAAATTTTTCTAAAACTTTTAATTAGTACCTAGAGTTCGATCGATAGGCATAAGGTATACGTCTATAAATGATAATATCATATTGGTCAAAATCCGGTCTTGTATAAAAATTCCCCTTTTCCCGATTTTTTCATGGTCAAAAAACTTGAAAATGTAATGCAAGGTTTTGCATAATTTATATGCTTGCCTGATAGCGATTTAAAGACATTGAAAATGTATTGACACAATGTTTCTTTATAATAATAAGAGTTTGCAGATCAAATTTTTAAATAATTATTCAAAATCTTCAACATTTTAAAACTATTTTTCCGACAAAAATGAACACACATTTCAATATTGTATTACCTATTACACTACAAAAAAAAATATAAGGTTCTTTACAAGTTTATCATACGTAACTATCGTATAGTATAAAATATGTTTGATAATAATATGTTGTATATTAGGAACATACGATATGAACAGTTATAGGTATATGGTTATGTCTTATGTGTACCGTGTACATATTTGTATTGGTTTTGTAATTTAATATAGGTTAATAATTAATATTGTGTATTTATTTTATTACATAATTTGTATTCATTTTTTTACATTCAAATGGCCATATTTATTCATCCTTCTTGTAATTAATGTTTTAATGTACAAGTTCAGACTTTTACTTTTTAAATATCATAAATCAATATACGGTAAGGACTTCAATTTTAATTGCTAAGATTGAAAATAATAAACAGATACAAAATTATTGAAAAATATACAATTATAATTTGCTATCTTATATCTATAGAACAGAGCTCATCAATACCAAACCAACCGGTATATCAATATTATAAGTACAAATTTTACGGCTTGTTAATTTTGTATTTTTTAATGTTGTATGTTCATAACTAATAACCATAATCTCTATGAATTCCAAAAATTAAAATTGTCAGGATATGATTAAATTAATTGTTATAATGTAAAATAATTAAATTCTTGGATCACTGGGCAAAAAATTGTATACTTCCACTATAAATTATAAGAGCTCAATAAAGGAAGTAAATCAGTTTCTTACGTTTATACAGTTCGAAATATATTATTAAAGTGAATACAATACATACGATACATTACCGATTTTATAAGTTACCTTTTAGTTACACGTTTCAGTTACATAATATCAAATGTATAACAACGTGATGTTGTATGTAAAATTGTAAACACACTAAAAACTGGATTGCACCAATTACCTATAGCTATATGAACAATAATTGCGCTTTCCGCAATAGAGTGTCGTAGGCGTGGTTTTTAATCTACTTTTAAAATGTTAGAACGTCTGAGATAACGGGTTATGTTTTTTGAATAAAGCTTAAGTGATCAAAGCAATGCATTTTGTTTTACTCGTGTATACTATACAATTACTATGACTGCACTGCAACTTACATAATAATAAACAAATAAGCATGTTTAGCAAATTAAATAAATTAAGATGCAAGAAATGTATTGTTTATAATTTGATATATTTACGTAGAAATTAGTAAGTATTATTACAGCTTGTAGTGCTTGTACACCGTAAACGAGTGACCAATAGGTATATACAATAGATTATAATAGAGTGCATAAATCTTCATATCATAACCAGTACACACCATTCAATGATTCATTTGTATCAGTTTTTATAAATTGTGCAGTATTCATGCATACATTGTATTATAGAATGCTCCATTGCTCAAACCATATTTATTTGAATTATGCTCCAAATTCTAAAAAAAAGATTAAATTCGCAATTCAAAATTAGTTGTCTAACATGCACACAGCACATATATTCGTATAGCTGCAAAATTAATCAGCATTATATTTTACACCTTATAACAACAAACAACCTGCCATTTTTCACTTCAGGTCTTTATTAAAATTAAACATACAATTAAACTTGTAACAGATATAAAACTACTTAATATATAAAAATTGTATTTTTTTATGTTAATGTTTACTGATACGAAAGTACGAAAAAAAATGCAACACCAAATATGCTAGGATTATATTATTAAATAAAACTAAATATTTGCAATTTTTAGTATTTTTGTCTGTAGGTTCTTAACATTTAGAAAATTAAATTCTAGTTTTAAATTACATATAAAAACCTTTCAAACGTACAAATTATTTTAAGAGCTTCAGTCATATGTTCAAAAGAAGAAACGGAATACTTACACGATACCATAATTGGCATAATTACTTATTACATATTATATATGATTACATGTTTATAATAGTATTATGTGCATATCATTAGAATAATGAATAGTAATAATACAATCTGGACATTCGAGATAAATGAAACACGACCGATTATCATCGATATAGAATAACGTAATGTAATACGCTTAAATATCGCGATGATATTAATTATAAATTTATAGGTAACCGTTTTAAAGAGGATGAAAAAAAGTTAACGAAACAATAAAGTTCACTATTTTCTTTTCTAGCACCACTTACCTAGGACATACACCTGGACATAATAATATGTGTGCATAAACCTTACGAGCCGGTGAAAAACAAACTCGTTTCGTCCTCGTTCGTACCTACTATACTATTATACAACTGCATGGGACCTAATAAGTAATATAATATACACCTACCTAGTATGTATTATACATATAATAACATAATATTATATTATACACCTACCTGTCGGCCGTTACGATACACCCGTGCGTGATCTCGTTGGCCTGTCCGAAGTCCGAGGCGGAGAGGGAAACAGCGAAACACCGAGCGAGCATAGTTGCATAACGCATAATATGCGAGCTTATTATAATATCTACTGCACATCTGCACTGCGCGGGTCAACCCTTCTGGGCAATATCTGCTCTCCTCCTAAAATAAACAATAATAATAATAACCCGGTGACCCGTCCGAGCACATGATAATATGTATACCGCTCCACTCTCATGGGTAGGGTAAGTTATAGGCGTACCACCGGCTACCTATATATAAACGTGCGCGATTAAACCACGACAACTTGTGCAGTAATCGTCAACGAGAACGTCCGATCGGGTCTATAATATCAAATATAAATATATTATCTACGTGACACCACAACCAGCCGCAAAAATGAAAACCTCAGTGAGTAACTACTAGCTGTACACATCGATTTTGTTCTGTTTCATTTCTATTTTATACATTTTCGGTATCTTTGAAATGTATGATTATAGGTATACTATCTTACTATCTAAGAAAACTGTATCCTTATTATTGAATTTGTTTTGACCACGACATCTGGTTTTCACTCGTATTCTTCGAATCGTTTGTCAATTTCTTAAAATCTGTTCAATTTTGTTGTTTATATTAAGAACAAATGTCATATTTTACTATAGACTTTGGAACAAATGCTTTTTAAAGATAAATAATTGAGAGTGTGGTGGCGACACAAACGTGTATGCGACCATCAGAGACAACAAGCACCACTCTTGCCACATCATACAATTCAAAATTCAAACAGAATATTATAGAATGCTATACATTTTTGATTAAAATAGACAAGTTATCATTTATTCACAATATACAATTATTTTGTAAAATAGCCAGTTTACTGTCGGTATAAATAATGAATATTATCATAGTATATTATAATTTTAATTTTAATAGTTTGGTAGGTACCTACCTACCAACCAAATATAAATATACTTTTTTCTACAATATTTTAATTTTAAAAAGACCACAAATATGCAACATATATTATAGCCTAGAATAATAGTTTATTTAAACTCATGAAAAACAAACTAACCGTTTTTTTGGTCATAAATTAATGTTCTTTTATTTTAATTATTTAAGATTGCTATTCTTTTGACTATTCTCTCGGTGGCTGCTGCTTCTCCACTGTTCTTCGGTCATCCAAAACAGTAAGTAAAAACATATAATATTTCTTTTGATTTTAAATTATTTTAAAAAAGACAAACAATATCTATGGATTGTACAGTGCATAAAAGTGTATGCATGAAATAACAATTATTATGATGCATGAACTTTATTGTTTGACTTTCAACTTGTATGTTTTATCATACAATATACTGTATAATGAAAACACTAGTAAAAACTTTTAGATGCAATATGTATATTTATATCAACAATACAACTTGCAGTAATGAATACAAATATTGCATCTGGAATTTCTGATTTGTTTTTACTGTTATTAAAGTAAACTCTAGTGATTGATTAATTTTTATTTGAAATTATACAGAAAATAGCTAAAATCCTATTTTAATATCAAACAAACTTCTTAAAGTATCGAATATTTTCTTATGAATCTAAAGATATACACACGAAATCGTACAAATATTGAGTTGCAATAGTTATGGAGATTCCCTACGAACATACCGATGTGCTCCCTATACCTACCAATTTCTTTTTATCATAAAATCGTGATGATTCTATACACAATAAACATGTTATATGTTATTTGAAAAAAATCGTGGGTCATAATCATCAATTATGGTTTATCACAAATTTTATAAATCCTCATGAAAATACAAGGTAATAAATTATGTAGATACACATACAGTATCTACGTATTTTATTTTTTAAATTTGGCTATTACTTCTGATCCGCTCGAAATCATATTATGAAATATTATATTATACTATACTGAAATTTAAATCCCTGGATAACTTAACGTCCACTTTGATAATTAGTAAATCATTTAAGTATTATGATTATGAACATTTATTTTATCAAGCTTTAACCATTATTGTTTCCGTTTTTAGCGAACACCACATTATCCACGTACCATACCATGTACACAAGGTTCCTGTTTACATCAAAGAACCCGTATACGTTGAGAAGCCTGTCTACATTTACAAGACCATTGATCATCACGATCATCACTACCACCACGATGACCACAGTTATGACCACTATAGCCACGATGATCATTATGGCAGCCATTATTAATTACAAGACTAATAATATCGACTTTTTAAATTTATAGATGTTTAAAACTTCAAGACCAATTAATTTTTGTAATATAATTATAATAAGTCATGAACCATAAACTTAAAGCTCTTTTTTTACCATGTAAAATAATGTCTGTTGTTACTATTTCTTTCAATTTACCTCATTGTTTTGTTTAGTTTATTCAATGTAGTTCTTAAATTGTTATTTTTTCTGCTTTTCGCAAAAACCATTAATTGTTTTAATTTGATTATTGGCTATTGCGTGTATAAATGAAATATAGTATATTAAATAAAACGTTGTGTTCCCCTGAACTACCTACTTGATTATTTCCACTTATATTATGTAGGTACAAACTTATTAAAATACTTTATTATTATTATTTTACAAACTATATCTACATTAGTTAAATATTATGGTATAAACGCCAAATGCTGAAAGCACTCGATGATATATTTGAAAACATTATTAAGTAAGTGTCACATTAAAAAAACCGGGTACTCCCTCTGCTGTATAGTAGATTTAAAGTGTATCTCGTTGTTAGTGTACTGGATGTTTATAATTAATTTTATAATCACTATTGCAGCTGCTCATTTTTTGTTTCTCTTTCGTTTATAGTATTCCATATTTCCATGCGCTAATCAATCTGTACAACAGTAGTTCCCAATTAGAATTAACTAAATTGACCGGGGGCCCCTTTTTCGTATATACTTAATATGGATGTTTTCTGATTTCTATACATGTAAAAGTTTATATTGGGAATTTGAAAACAACGGCTGTACAACATTTGAAATAATTATTCAATTATTTATTTTGTGACTCAGAGAGTCTGAGAGTACTTATTTATTCGGTTCCCTTTTGATCTCTCTGCTCTCTGTAGCGAGTTCTACTCTGGCAATTCAACCTGTGACTCAGGGCATCTCTTCAGGCATTTTTAGGATTTGGGCCACAGTTGTCATTGCCACATCGATTGCCCGAGGTTGAAACTAATGACCCTTTGCTTATGCATATCCCCCAAAAATAACCATTGCCGTCCAGTTTGTATTGCTTTCCGAATCGACCCCTCTGTCGCCATCATACCTGACGGCCTTTTTCATATAGTTTGTATTCGACTTTGTCATTGCACCAAATCAATCCAATTATAGATACGTATCCCTTTAAATCCCTTCATATAAAACTAAAATTGTCATTGTTTACATTGTCTCTATTCTTCGTTGTATCCTATTTCCTATATTATAATCATTGTGCATACATTATCGTCACCGTCGTTGCGTGCGTATATTGTGGCCTTCTCACAACTGCCAGGCGCTCTAATCACCAATCTCCATTCGTTAATTACGTCTGGTTGTCTAAATTGTATGATGTGTAGAAAATGTGGATATAAACATTCAGTGAAAATGTAATCTAACGTATTTTTTTTAGAGTTACATCAAAATGTATTAAAATGATGATGTGACTTTATAAATAGGTATAATTATTAGGTACATATAACATAAATTTGTAATATAATAATATTATATTGAAAAAGCAAAACTAAATCAAAATTATTAGTATATTTGGAAATATTATACATAATTATATTAATATAATCAATAATTACTACAATAATATAACATCATCTTCTTTAATAAAGTATAAATAGTACAATATTATTTCTCTTATATATTAAACTTCTTACATTTACATTATAAAATAATATGTTTATTTATATGTATATCTTTATCACTCTTCAGCTGCATCTATTGTCTCCTCCTTCCCTACAGTTTTAAAAAATATACTTAGACTTAGTATGCTATCTAAAAAATCTCACGTTCCCACCAATTGTTCTGTAGTGACCGCCGCTCGCGTCGTCCAACTCTCGACACTGACCAAGTGGTTACAATGACTGAACGAGTCAAACATCTTTCCTACTAACCGATATTAACACTGAAAGGGTCATAACCCTTCTATCAGAACTCCTTACTGTCATTTCATCAGTGTAGAACCACAAGGTAATCATTTCTATAACTATTAAATCATTCGTGTCCCTCCTTAGTAATACCTATGAATAACTTAAAAATTATTCACTAGAACTAAACGGCATCATTAAACAACTAAACTAACTCCAGACACTCGCATCCACTTTGAAAATCGACATTATTCACTCGAGTGAAACTCTACTCAAATTTTCCTCTAAACTGAAAATCCCAAACTACCATACCTACAAAACAGAGAGGGTCCACTAGTCGAATTTTATATTAAAAATGAAATGTGAAACGGGAAAAATGGTTGTAGACATGGTCATATTGGCGTATACTTTTTCTAAAATGTTGAACGGTACCGTTATACAGATAAAATGTCCCCGGCAAAACTATTGTAAAACAATAACATTGCAGCATAATATGTAAGCGTGTGGCTCTCGAAGACATAATAATATATAAATATATTAGTTGATAATAATTCAATAATAATTTTAAAAATAATATTATAATAATAATAATAATTAAATAATAATTATTATTATTATTATTTTTTATAATAATTTTTATAATTTTATTTTATTATAATTTATAAAAAATGTGGACTATATTAACTATTGTTATAGACTATGATTTTAAAAAAATGTTTAGGTACATATTATTGAGTGTTGTTTGGAAAATATGTGTAATTGATATTTTTATTTTTAAAAACTCGTATTATTAATTTTGTTTTTAAAAAAATTGATAAAATAAAAATTTAATATCCTTGCTTATTTTAAATTTTTGTCTTGAATTGAAATAATTCGTTAATGTGAAATGTATCCACAGGTAAATTTAGTGCAAATGGAAAGTCGGAAAAAAACACACCTTTTTTATTTTGGAACAAATAGGCTGTACCCAGAACGAATTCATTTTTTTGGTGCAAATGGCTATATGCCTCGGGAATTAGTGACACCAGCAAATGCTTGCACTCAGAAACGAAACGTGACTGAATACAATCACCGTGCCACACCAGACCGTAAATGTATAGTTTGGGAAATAAGAGTAAAGTATTTTATAAAGTTTGTATCTAATATAAGTGGAATTCATTTAATAGTAACAAAGAAACACAACATTTTATTCAATTACTATATTTTAAAATTTTAACAAAACAAAAAAAAAATACTCAAATTAAAACAATTAATGGTTTTTGCGAAGAGTAGAAAAATATCAATTTAAGAACTTCATTGAATAAATAATGGGGTAAATTGAAAGAAATAATTACAACAGGCATTATTTTACATGGTAAAAAATAAAAATGGAACTCTTTGGTCCATGACTTATTTTAATTAAATTACAAAAATAAATTGGAATTTATAAACAAGCATCTAAAACTTTTGAAAGTCTTTAGTCTTATTCTTAGTCTTATCAATAATGGCTGTCATAATGATCATCGTGGCTATAGTGGTCATCATGTTGGTCTTCTTGGTGGTAGTGATGTTCGTGATGATGATCGACGGTCTTGTATATATAGACAGGCTTCTCAATGTATACGGGTTCTTTGATGTAAACTGGGACCTTGTGTACATGGTATGGTACATGGATAACGTGGTGTTCGCTAAAAATCGGAAACAATAGTTAACGCTTGATAAAATAAATGTTTATAATACTTAAATGATTTATTAACGTGGACGTTAAGTTATCCAGGTACATTATTTTATAATATTATCTCGAGCGGGTCAGGAATAATAGCCAAATTTAAAACAAGCTGTATAGAATACGTAGATATTGTATGTGAACCTACATAATTTATTACGTTGCATTTTCATGGGGATTTACGAAATTGGTGATAAACCATGGATGATATTAGTGATATTACGCTCGATTTTTCAAATAAAATATAACATGTTTATTGTGTACAGAATAATCACGATTTTATGATAAAAAGAAATTGGTAGGTAGGTATCGGGAGAACATCGGTATGTTCTAATGGAATCTCCACAAATATTGCAACTCGACATTAATAGTAAGATTCCGTATGTATATTTTTAGATTCATAAGAAAATCATCGAAATTTTAAGGAGTTTGTTTAGCATTGAAATAGGATTTCAACTATTTTCTATAGAAATTAAAATAATGCATCTGGAAGTGTTTTACTTGTTTTCCCACTGTATACTATATTATGTTGTATATAAAAACTTTCAAAATGGAAAAAAAGGTTCATGCATCATAATTCTTGTTACCTATACCTATTACATGCATACTTTACACAGTAAAGTCTATTGATTTTGTATGTTTTTTAAAAATAATTTATAATCAAAAGATATATAATATATATTTTACTTACTCTTTTGAACCAAAGAACAATGGAGAAGCAGCAGCCACCGAGAGAATAGTGAAAAGAATAGCAACCTTAAATAATAATAATAAAATCACATTTTAAGTTTTTTTTTAAATATTTTAAAATAATGTAGAAAATAAGGTATTTTATATTTGGTTGGTAAGTACCTACCAACCTACCAAATTATTAAAATTAAAATTATAATAAACTAAGATAATATTCATTATTTATGCCGACAGTAAACTGGCTATTTTTCTAAATAATTGTACATTGTGAATAAATAATAACTTGTCTATTTTAACCAAAAATGTATAGCATTTCATAATACTCTGATTGAATTTTGAATTGTAAGATGTAACAAGAGCGGTGCTTGTTGTCTCTGATGATCGCATACACGTTTGTATCACAACCATACCCCCAATTCTTTCACTTCAAAAAGTATTTTTTACTATAGTCTATAGTAAATTATGACTGTTGTTCTTAATATAAACAACAAAATTGAACAGATTTTAATAAATTGACAAACGATTCGAAGCTTAAGAATACGGGTGAAAACCAGATGTCGTGGTCAAAACAAATTCAATAATAACGATACAGTTTTCTTAGATAATAAGGCTATCTCTAATACCTATATACTATATAGGCAATAATAATAAATTTGAAAGATCGCAAAAAAATTAAAAATTAATCAAAACAAAATTGATGTAGTTACTCACTGAGGTTTTCATGTTTGCGGCTGGTTGTGGTGTCAAGTAGATTTTTATGTATTTAATATTTTAGACCCGGTCGGACGTTCTCGTTGACGATTACTGCACAAGTTGTCATATCTTAATCTTGCACGTTTATATATAGGTAGCCAGTGGTACGTCTAACTTACATAACTCATATCGTGTTTATTCTGTTCGGACGCACTAGGGCGGGTCTGGGTTATTATTACCTATTATATATTTTAAGAGGAGCACAGATATTGCCTAGAAGGATTGACCCGAGCAGTGCGGAAAAGCAGTAAATAATAACATAATTATATAACTAGAGCGCACATTTTTATGCACTAAAAAGTATCAAAATATGCCATATAATATGCAGTCAAAATCGCACAAATATGCAAATATTAACGGAAAATATACAATAAATATGCAATATAATTTCAATTATTTTCATCACAAAATTGTATATTTAATTACTATACAATAGGTATTGTAAATTAATATATTTTTTAGTTTCATTTATTATTAAAATGAACAAAAAATAATAAAATGTATGCAACATATATATGAGAGAAAATTTCAATTATTCACATCACAAATTTATATGTTCTAAAAAAGGTAGGTATTATAAATTAATATATTTTTACATTTTATTTATTATTAAAATGAATAACCATAAATGCATTTCCAGTTTTGCTTCAGTAAAGCTGTGACATTTATCTGTTAACATAAATTTAAAATACTGAGAACGACCTCCAACGCCAATCGAAAATGCCCCATATTTGAAGCATTTAAGAACTGTTGGGTCTTGATAAATATCATCAAGTTGAACGTTTTTGACTACTGCGTACATGTATGGTAGAATTAATAGGTCTTTTTAATTATTGGAAAGATCATGTAATTTTGTTTGAAGTGTTGCCCCCCTAAAAGTTAAGGTCGTAATTCGTAATCGATTAGTTATCTTCTCTTTATTTCAATTACTATATTTAGTGCCTATCAAATTTATTTTTGATATTTCTACTCTACAAAATATTATTTTATACCTTTTTGGTTTAAGATTTTGCTTCAATAATATATGCAAATGCAATACTTTTTAAATTTCGTAATAATGTCCAAAAATATGCAACAACCATTAAAAAGATCTTCTCCAGTAACTTCAAACTATTATAATTCGTAAGATTACTAACAAAAATCCAAAAATATGAAAAGGAAAAAATATGCAATTGCATATAAGTCCGCGCTCTAATTATAATGCTTGCATGTGCATTATGCAACTACTCGCTTAATACCTATTTCGCCGTTTCCCTCTCCGTCGGACAGGCCAACGACATTACGCATGTGTGTATTGTAAGTCGTAACAGTCGACAAGCAGGTATATAATATTATGTATACATAGATAGGTTTATTACTTATTGGGTCCGATATAGTTGTATAATAGTAGTATGCACCGGAGAAACGGGTTTGTTTTTTACCGGTGTGCAAGGTTTATGCACACATATTATTATGTTGAGGTGTATGTCTTAGACAGTCTTGCCTAGGGAGTTGTAAGAGGAGCATACAAACCGGGCTTAATGACCTGCACGACAGAGCCAAAATACAAAATATACCTAATATTATTTTAAATTTGTATTTTAAAAACCAATAATAAATTTTTTTCATTATTACACACAGAATTTTCCGTTTGAACAATAAGATCCGATGACAATCTTAAATAGGAAGGGCAATTAAAATGATCCTTGGCACTGAGCTTTGATTTTGCTAGGCACAAATCTGGCCGTAGCCTCGTAGGTACGTGATGCTAAAAAAAGCTGTTAAATTATTGTTTCGTAAATTGTTTTCATCCACTTTATAACGGTTGTAAATTTATAATTACCTATTATTATCATTGCGATACTTATGCGTATAATTACATTACGTTATTCTATAGTGATAATCAGTCGTGTCTTATAACGCATCTTGCATTTCTTGATTATATTTTTATTATTAACCATTAGGTACTATTCACACTATTAATTCTACGCATAAATAATATTTATAATATTATTATAAATTATAATTAATATTTTATATTATACATGTTGTTACATATGCCACTTAAAAAAATATTGCATATTTGCACATGATATATAATATTAGCTATATGTACTTGTATAAACTTTTACTCATTTAGCTTATATAATCACGTTCACGGTGCACCGATGATATTTTTCGAGCTGTTATCGGCGTATTCTCGTTTAAAAAATATTAAACTAGTATTTAGACCACCACTATTTAATTAATCAATTCTACTTGACGCTGTAGCCTTAAAATTGGATATTCAAACAAATAACGATGTTTGTTATCATCATATTATAATTCAAACAAATATTAATTATATTATTCGTGGTAGAAACATAAAACATTTCACGAGTCACAATTACTTAAATTATTATTTTCAAATATTTTTGACTAATATAGGTTAACCGAGTTTTATTTTATACCACTAGCTTAACCCCTTAGGCCGTTTAGGGTTCTGTTCAGATTTTGACGGTATGCAACCAAGCTTTCCGGTTCAAACTGCTTAGCCGCGGATTGCCTATACCAATAGAACGAACACGTGGACGAGGGCAGCAATTCCGGCAATTGTGGTCCTTCGGCAAGGGCTGATTTTCCTCTATAGCTGAACTTGATCCTGCTCCTGCTGATGCTGCATGCCATATCCTCTAGGGCCGCCGAGAGGGTACTACCGGCTGAACCGAAGTCGGCCGCACATTGTAGTGCACTGCGTCGTCGTCGCCGCCCAACGAGACCACCCCATGCAGGCTGGGCGTCCTGGTCGGACATTCCTGGTCCGCAAATCCTATGATTGTCTTACGTGCAGTATGTCTGAAAGGCGGAAATGGAGATTCCCCGATTTCGCACCAGCAGTTCTCCTTAAAGATTTGTACGGTTTCCTGAAATTATCGTCGGCCAAAAGCTGCTCTGTTTCAGACGTAATAACCGGAAAAGCTTGACAAAATGTCAACGTTTGATAAAAAATAAAAATAAAGGAAAATTAATAGTTTAGTATCGGATTATATATTTTTTTTTCAGAACTTATAATAGTACTAATATAATTAGTGCAGTCCGCATACTGTTGTTGTACACATTACACAGCTCTAGTAAAGTAGTACAATGTGTATGGTACTCTGGTGTCTAGACGGTGTCTGGTGCTTTCCAAGAAGATAGTCCGTACTACGTGCTCTGAGCTAACCTTTTTTTTATTAACTATGTCGTGGGCCGAGCATAGATAATAAAGAATATTAAATATTTATACACAGATATGCACAATAAACTTACTAACGAAAATGTATTGTACACAACGCGGAATTAGTCCGTGGTACATCCACCTGTCCTATATGTGTGTTTATCTCTTTATCTCGTCTATTATTATTATCTATATCACGGTGCATATTAAACCGTAAACTAAACATAGATATATAAGAATATGTATGTTTATATATCTGTGGAACTAAATAAAATCACGGACTACATCTTAATCCGTGTCTTAAACGGTGGTCTATATTATTATAAAATTATGTATTATCTATGTAGCCCATAATAATACACAAATCACCATTAAAGATAGTATGGTTATTGGTTGCCCATCGACCCGTGATTCTCATACTTGAAAAGTGTCCACCGAAATGAATCTCTACTTATTGTCTTATTAGTATTAAACAGCTGGAGATTCAGGCACTAGCGCTTGCATGTGATAGCGGCTATACACGCAACTACTATTTTGCACGCAGAACAGTATTCATATAATCACGCGCTCATCATTTTTTTTTTAAATATACTGTTGAATAATGTCTACCTATATTTTGTAAAATACTATAAACATAACAAAATGTATTCTAATTCTATAATAACTGTTTCTATTTTTCTGATGTTTAACAATTAAATAATAATGTATATTCTATGCTACCAACGTAGCCCATTGGACATTTAATTGAGACCATTGTAATTTTTTTAGAGTAGGTATCAAATAAAACTGCACTTACATTATTAAATGAAGGTTCTTCATTTGTTATTTTTGAGACTAGGTAAGAATATTCTATACGATGACTTCATAAATAGAATACAATTTTTACTTAACTTTTTATAACAAAAAATAATTCAAAATAAGATACCATACTATCATTACTATCTTTAATCGTGGTAGACACTTTCCAAGATTCGTTGGGCAACCATACTATATTACTATCTTTAATCGTCACACAAATTAAGATTTTATTATTACTTTTATTTGTGAGTTTGTGACATATAAATTGTTATGATAGATTGTTGCATAAATCCATAGACATATCTATTATATGACTATATACAGATTATGGTTTTTCCATATCGGTGATAAGCTGATAGCTGATAAGAGATAATTTAAATTTAAAAAATAAAAATGCCGAATACATGATTAACATTAAAACAACAGTTTTTTTTTTAATTTGAAATAGCTTATGTCCTATTTAGTTACAACTTACTAGTACTATATTAATACACTAGGACTAGGTAATAGGTACGTCAAAAGAGGCTAAGTATCTGTTGTAATCCTGTTCTGAAATATTGAAATCAGAAATTGTAATTGTTAGGTCAACATCAATATTATAATATTATAATTACATATTATTTTCTTAGGTAAACTTTTCCTTTTTTCTAGGATTTCATTTTAATAACAATGCTTGGCTCTTTGAAGAATAAACGTTCTTTGACTGATAGAATTAGTTCTAACAGAGTTGAGAATAATGCACAAGTCATCAAAAAGAGAAAACATTTGACAGTGAAATCTGATACTAATGAAATAACTTCAAATTCTGATTGGAAGCCACCAAATTGGGAAGAGACATTGGATAATATAAGAAAAATGCGTAAAGATATTGTTGCACCTGTAGACAATATGGGATGTGATCAAGCTGCAGACCTAAATGAACCACCAGAAGTATGTACACATAATGTGTATAAGATAAAATTCTTTACCTATCTAATTGAATTAAAACAATTAATAAAGACCAAATGCCAATGGCTTGTAATGATTGCGATTATCTTATTGTCGAGTTTGATATCAAACAATTTAGTTATTCCATTAGACTTTTTTTTTAAATAATATTATTAACATTAGTTTTGTGTATATATAATATCTATTTTTTGTCCCTATAATTTTATAGGTGATTAGGTATCATGTACTAATTTCTTTGATGTTATCAAGTCAAACAAAAGATGAAGTAAATTTTGCAGCTATGCAACGTTTGAAACAGCATGGCTTGACTGTTGATAATATTTTGGAAATTCCTGACGATAATTTGGGAAAACTTATTTATCCTGTTGGATTTTGGAAGGTAGTATTTTGAATTTTATCAAAATAATATAAGTTAAAATTTGTTCATTTCTGTGTTTCACATAGATCTAAATAATGTTGAATGTTAATTTTTAATTACTATTAGAGAAAAGTTCAGTACATCAAACGCACAACTCGTATATTAAAGGACACATATAATGGTGATATACCAAACACAATAAAAGACCTATGTCAATTGCCTGGTGTAGGACCTAAAATGGCTCATCTCTGTATGAGTTGTGCCTGGAATGAAGTTACTGGAATTGGTTCAGTACAAATTAAATATTAAAGTTATTAACAAATTGCATTTAATTTAACACAGTTTTTAAATTTTACAGGAGTGGACACTCATGTGCATAGAATAAGTAATCGTTTGGGATGGGTAAAGAAAACTACCAAAACACCAGAAAAAACACGCATAGCATTAGAATCTTGGTTACCTAAAGACCTTTGGCGTGAAGTTAATCACATGTTGGTCGGATTTGGACAGACTATATGCCGACCCTTAAGTCCTCATTGTGATTCTTGTTTAAACAAAAAAACTTGTCCTGCTGTAATAAAAGGCACATAAATGAAAAAGAAATAAACATTTTTTTTGCTTTTATTAGTAATCCTATTTTTCAGTACTATTAAAATCTCACTAATATTATCCAGTTTTTTTTTTTTTTATTATTTATCTTGATATGTTCATATTTTTTCTACAAAAATGAATTTATTAAGATTTTTTTTTTATATACTTCAATACTTTGTAATTAATTAATTAATTTTTGAATGGTATATTTGCACCTTTTGATCAGTTAATAAATGTAGGTGAGATGTTTAAAAATATATTTGTTTTTCTACTATTTATTGGTGTGTTATTGTAATTTAAAATTTCTATTACAATATTCTTATTAAAGGAAATAATACTAACCATAAAAATAAAATTACCAATCATGATTTTATAGATAAAAAAAATTAAAACAAATACATCATTTTTATTTATAACCATAGAAATAATAAGGTCTACATTTATAAAAGGATTCTACAGTTGAAAAAATTCTGAAAAATTATTTTACAAGCATTTAAAAAAGTAATTTATAATCTACACACTAGTCGGAGTAATTGGCTACAATACACCACAAAAAAAAAACACTAAGCCAACTAAATTGTTGTTACCCAGATATGTAATTTGAGGTGTTACAGGTTATGCTTAAGCTTACCTAGAATTTATCAACATTGAATTTTGGATTGACTATCATTTTTCTTCGCTGGGCAAAAGTATTAAGTAATCTTTTTTTTCTATTTGGTCTTAAGTATTAGCAACTATGGCCATGTGATATTATTTAAATGAGATATAAAATTGTTTGGTTTGTATTGAAAATTGTGAGTGTGACTGAGGATTTCAGGACTTGTTTTATGTTCAATGTTTTTAGGTACAATATAGTGTATAATTAATATTTCAATTAAAACAATTTAAGTACCTTCTCACTTAGTATCGTTACATATATAATATTCATGATATATTAGATTATTAGATGGGAAATAATAAAATAAAAAGATTCTAATTTTCGAACGTAGCATTAAAAACAATTTTTTGTAATAACGCTATAGCACAATTGCTCAATGTATATTGGCCTGATGAATTTTTTTTGCCTTATAGTTGTTATCTTACCTTTAAAAAATTTTAAATGACGCCCCTGTTTTTACCTATAATAATAGCATTGATTTTACAACAATAAGACAGATATGTATTTAAATTTATTTATGGTTAATGAGAGATATAAAGATACAATGTATAAACTATAAAGTGGTTTAAAATAATAAACAATAGTACAATACAATAATCATAGTATTTAATTCATAATGGTGCTCCACTGCTCCACATATTCCAGCTATAACAGTAATACATTTTGGCGGGAAATTACCGATCAATTAAAGAGGTTAGGACCAATTAGTGTTCTCAATCTATCAACATTTGAAAAATATGTTATCACGCCATGTTATTTTAGTACAATAAAAAATAGTTAAAAATTAACTTTTGTTTTGAATAAATAAAATACTTTTGTCTTTTTAACTTTTTCAAAAATGTAACTGAAATCTTGGGGACTGTGGGAGGATTCCCCTCCCTCCCCAATATCTTGGATTCAGCACCACTCTAAGATGACAATTTCCATATGAAATTTAAATATATCATCTTGTTTTGTTCACTGCCAATTATTAATTCAATTTCGTAGTATTATATTATGGTTGTTACTTGTTTGTATCAAGCACGGTAGATAATAATATAAAATTTATAGATGAGCGTAGATGTATATCTCAGATAGTCAGATGGTATCCCTTATTGGATAATTGTATGCATTTGTTTGAATATATGTAAATATATATAGCCATATAGGTACTGCGTTGACGTAATTACTTAGATACACACATTAATCATTTTTACAACACATTTTAGGGCTTATTCTAATGAGAGAATACCAATTTTAGGACTTTAGGTACCGAGAAAATTAATTTTTAACAAAAGATAGAGGGCTCTAGCCCTCTTAATTTCGATTTCAGTGCAAAATTTAAACATGCAACCTAGATAGTTTTGATATTATTATTAGTATCTAGGCACATGATAATTATAACTTCGATAGTTCGGTCCCGGAACCAGGTTGTCGAATTAGAATTATATGATACATTTAGACTGCTCTGAAAGTCCGGGTTAAGTGTACACAAAGTACCTATCATAATAGAGCATAGATTATAAATTATGTGTTTAAGACATTTTTCACATTCATTAATAGGACTAGCTGTAAATTATCTTTACCGATGATAATTATTACACTTTTACACTGTATTATTACTATTTATGTTTATGTTTAAATATAGAATATACGAAAGTACTAGTAAGATACCTACGCCCTCGGCCGACTGTTATGCATCCATCGTGACACTAACAATTAATGCAATCAAACCTCTCCAATAAAAAAGTTGATGAGATTATTTTTTGAAATCATGTCCCGGTTAGAAGGTACTTGAACTTTTATGTTCACCCTAATCCAGTACCTATCCTTATTTTTGTTATTTACTTATATATATCTATTTGTTATTATTATAATCAGTCCTTGTTTCATGGCATCTATATGCTTCTGTGGCTATTTGACGTAAGTAACTATAGGTACCTATCCATAGGTGGAGAAAATGGGGGGGGCTTACGGGGGCTTAGTCCCCCCAAAATAAATTATTTGAAGTTCCCCCTAAAAATATTAAACAAACAATACCGTAATTTTGTACAGTTTGAAGAATTTTTTTCATTATTTTATATTCTTATATCCATAATTATATAAGTGTACCTAGTACATTACATACACACTATTTACCAATTTATTATTTACGGCAACATACCGAACATTTAAGTCACTACTTAGGTCATATACCTAATATTGTACATATTTTGTTCCAATTGGCCATCTATATTGAATAACATATTATACCATTCTATTTTAGATGGGAAAAATATTTTTTCTTTTCTTAATTTTTGTTAATTCTCGAGAAGCGATAGCTATCTTAGGACTATCGCTATAGCTGTATTAAACCTATCGTAAAATTTATCGCGATTGAATGAATCGTTAACCGTATTGACCATTTTATACTAAATTATATTTTACTTATTGTTTGATGTTCTTGGGAATACATTTCTTTTGAGATTGTGATTTAGATTTTTAATAAATAATTTAGTTCAAATATGTTTGAAATATTTAAATTTAAATCGTTTATTAATTATTTTTTTTTTATGTTTGTAACTATTTAAGTTGTTATGATAACGAGAACAATTTTTTATGAGTGATCTAATGTAAAAATTAGTTTGTTGGGGGTGTGGGGGCAATGCCCCCACGGGTCTTTTTGTCTTCAAATATTTGAGCCCCCCTTAATATTTTACAAGATCTCCGCCTATGTACCTATCTAACATCAGGGTGATCAAGCATATTTATAGTTGGCCAATAATTCATACATTTAGATAAGCACGAGCTAGGGGCCTTCAAAAGGAAAAATATTTGTATTCTTATTTCATTTTATCACAGATTAGTTTTATTTAAACTGTGGTTTTATAACAAACATACTATAGAACAGTGTTTCCCAAACTTTTTGCAATGGCGACCCATAAATTTAAGCTTTCTTAGGTACGCAACGCGATCCCCTACTAAAAAAAAAAAATCAATTATGCCATAAATTAATACTATTTTTACTACAATCAATTTTATCATTCTCACCGATGAGATAACAAATATTCCATAATCGTAATAAAATAATATGAAGATTACTAAAAATATGTCATACATTATTCTACAATACTAGTTGGACTTTACATAATTATTATACAATACAGAGATCGAGGAGCGACCCATCAAAAAGATTTCGCCACTCACTATTGGATCGCGTCTCATGATGTGAGAAACGTTGCTATAGAATATAGATTGACAATGTTTTTCAGAAGCCCATTTTTGAGTTATTAAATATTATTACTACATATTATGTCTCTTAGGAGGGAAGGGGGCTTGTTAGTAGGTACTTATTACGATTTAAACTTTAAGATAATTTAGAACGTAGTATCTTAAACAGTGCAATTAAATGGCTTCCAAATACAGGTAGTCAATATTTTACCTTTATTAAATAATACTTTAGGCTGCATCCGAGTTGGGTCTCGAATTTATAATTGCTACACTAGTTGGGTCCCGAATTATTTTAGGTACTACACTAGTTGGGTCCTGAATTATTTTAATTACAACACAAGTTCTTGAATATTTGTTGGTAAGTACTACACTATACTAACATTTTACTTCCCATTTTAACAGACTGTCTATGATCTATTTAGACCACAGGTATGGTTAAAAATGTTTTTTACATTTTTTTTTTAACCTAACCAACTCGTCGAGGCTTAACCGGCATTTATCGCTGTTCCAGATAGTTTATTATAAGATATGTCAAAAACTATCAGATATTACCGATAACACTGAAATTATAACACAAATGCTCGAAAACCACTTACGTCTTTTTTTATTACGAATATCCCAATAGTCATATTATATACGTATAAGTACTTTTCATTTACTTTTCAATTTAATAAAATTGTATTAATATTATTGTATAATATTTTTACTAACTATCAATTACTAATTACTTATACTTTAATATTTAAAAAAACTGCAAAAAACATTTTTAGCCATACCTGTGGTCTAAATAAATCATAGACAGTCTGTTAAAATGGGAATGAAAATGTTAGTTTAGTGTAGTACTTACCGAAAAATATTCAGGAACTAGTGGAATACCTATAATAATTCAGGACCCAACTAGTATAGCATCTTTAAAATAATCGGATAATGTTTTATAATTGATTAAATATTATACAATATAAGTCTTTATCAATGGTTTTTTAAAACAATTATTTTGTACATGCGCTATACGTGAGTTTTATATAGTTTTCATGGGCCATGCGCCCGCCTATGCCACCATGGTAAAATTAACATTTATAATTTATCTACATTGCAGTATCGTACGCTCGACATGCATCGATCGCATATTCGCATCCTTAGATCATAATATATATAGATAAGTACAAATGTACAATCAAAGCAAGGTTTATAGATAACCCATAGACATAAAGTAACTATAAAAAAGTAGATGGATAGATAGACAGCCGACTACAGGATAATATTGAAGTTGGGCAGCCATATGCCAACAGGGCAAAATTGCATGATTTACAATAATATAAACATATAACTATGTATACTGTATAGGTATATTATCTATTGAGTTATTTTGTAAACATACTAAACATTGCCTGTTGACATAATATGGCCGATGGGAAATGAATGTATAATACATATTGTTATATGATAATATGCAGTCCGCTATCTATTTTTTTGTAGTTGCTTATAAATATCTATGGAGATAACCTAACCTAGCAATCAAAGTATGATAGCACAATGATAGCATTTTTTTGTGGTGATAATATGATGATTTGAAAATATGAATAGTGTTGTTTTGTACTTTAGTTCGGTGTCATAGAAAATATTTTATGATTGTGTAAAATTGTGGACCCGGGCATTCTGCTTTTATTTTAACTTTCAAGTAATTACAAAAGTATTTTGAAATTCTATTATGTAATAATAATAGAAAACCTATTTCATATTTTATTAATTTTAGAACAAATATATTTATAACTTATCGCTACCTACTCCATTATTTGTCATCCAGCTACATAAAACCAATCAAACTGAACAAATGACAAATAAATTGTTATCACATTAGGTATTCCATTTAAATAATAAACTTTATACCATGTAATAAATTAAGTGATCAATTCAAGTTTTTATAAATAGTACCCAATACAACTTAACAATGAAGACATAGGCAACTAGGTGGTGGCTTAGCTGAGTAAGCAAACCGAAATATTTACATAGCTCACTTAAAAATAATATATTTGATGGGTTAGAATAGTCACAAATAATGTTTTCTTCAATTAGATATCAAATTAGCTAAGAATGAGTTTGAAGAGTAGTATGAATGATTTATTATGAAAATATCTTTTAAAATTATATCAGATTATTTTATTCTTTATAGAAAAAAAACTTGCCAAACATTGAATATATTTTTAGATACTAATAGATATTTATCTATAAAATAATATACTGTGTACCTATAGTAATATATATAATTAAACAATGAACAATATCAAAGTATTAACAGTTTTTTAACTGTAATAATTAGTAACAAGTGTTACCAAATAATTAAATTGTTTTGTTTAATAGGTTATCCTATTTTGGTGATCAATATTGACCATGTATAATTGTGATACATGTAACAAAGATTTTACTCTCAGAAAAAATTTAAAAAGACACATGAAGAATATACATAATACAGCTTTAGCTTCTATTTCAAAAAGCAGCACCACCACTAAGGAAGCCAAACACAAATGCCCTAAGTGTCAATTACAATTTGTTGAAAGAAGTTCACTTAGACGACATGAAAGGTTAAAACATAAAATGAACATCACGGCCTCCTTAAGAATCAAAAAGTGAGTATATTAAAAGTATACTTTGTTTTTTTGATCATTTAATGTCAGTCATCAATGCCATATATCAGATCATTGCAAGGCTGGGCATTAACGAGTTAAAAATTAAAATTAAGTTAAAACTTTAAGTTAAATAACTCATTACTTTTTTTTTGAAACTAAATTTTAACTTAATAAGTTAATTTTTTTTACAAATTTAACGTGTTAACTTCAAGTTAATTATACACAGATTTCTTAAAATTAAGTTATATTTTAAATTTGATACAACCCATTGATTTATAACTTGATGCCTTAAGAAATATTAGATATAAATATATAATATAAAATAAATGGAAAAATTTATAATTAATAAATAATTAATCTAAATTTATATTTAGTCATATAATTGTATACGGGTTAGGTTAGGTTATAAAAAATACTATAGTTAACCTTTAACTTAACTTATTTTTTCTTATATTAACTTAACTTAACGAGTTGAAAAAAATCGTTAACTTGCCCAGCCTTGGATCATTGTCACTTATTTCTTAAGCATTTGTAAATTTGTACATATTAATCCACTTTTTTAGATTATAGAGGTACAAATAAAGTATAACAATTAACAATTAATTTTTATTTACAGATCTAATAAATACATGACATTTGAGCCCAGCAATTTAGATGATTATCCATTGTTAAAGGTATTATTCATTTTTAAATAATTTGATAGAAACTCAGTTAAATTGTTAAATATTATAAACACTGTTTTTAAGAGGACATTTATCTTAGGAACTCCTGTGTGTTATTACATGTTAGTTATAATCAGGGCTCATAAGTTCATACACTATTGGAAAAATATACATTCAAATATGCACTAATAATTCAAAAATATGCATTTATATTTTATATGCACTAACAATTTAAAATTATGCATAGTATAACAAAATCATAGGCACATTTTGAAATAATAAGAAATAGTCATTTTTTATCCAAATTTAATTGCTTTTAATTTTCATACTTTTTATAAAACTCAAAAACCTAACATTACAAATCAACACTTTGTTGTCATTATTACGTTATTATTATTAATATTACACAGCTTGAGGTCAAACGAGAATAAAAAAAATTCTTCAATTTTATAAATTGGAAAGTAAATAAGAAAAAAAAAAAATTATTTCTTCAAATATATTTTATTACATAATAATATAATATAATGGTATTTAGATATTATTTATTGTTCTAGAAATTAGTACCTGTAGATTATGTTTACAAAGTGAATTCCATTCAACATTTTGAAAATGAAGGGTTGAAATCAACATTTGAAATTGCCGATTGTGCTGAAGATTTATTTTTGGTTTGGTTATCAGAATTGGAACAGAAATCTAAGGTTACCTACAGAGTTAAATCATTCACTAAATCACCGAGCCAAAAAATTGTATTTAATGTAAGTATGCAATAACTTTAAATTATTTAATATTTATTTTTACATTTATAAATATTTTCAGAAAGTGTATAGATGCATTCATAATACATTTCCACATAAGTATCAAAACGCTCATCCGAAACACACAGGGTGTATGGCCACATTAACTGTAAGAATAAAAAAATGTAGTGAAGCTTTGTGAGTGTTAATTTATAAATAAGTATAACTACTATAAAGTTTATCTTAATTACTATTTACTTTTTATAATTAATTTTAGGTCTGTTAAAAATGCAATAGCTGATAATAATGTGATAATGATTCCTCTTAAAGCAATTGTGACACTCAATCATAATCATAATCATAATCATATGCTGTTAGAAACAATGAAAAAGTGTATCACTGAAAAAAAGAAACTAAGAAAAAAAAAGGAAATACAGTGTAATACAACTTCTATGGAGATTTACACAACAGAAAACAAATTAAATATAACACATTTTGACAAGTCTAAGAGTCCACAGCAAAACACAACATCAAGTATTTCACAAGTATCTATTAAAAATAATAAAATCAATACTAGTACAACAGAAGTGGTTAAAAAGCGATTTGTAATGAAGAAAACCGAAAAAAAGTTTTTCATTGATGATAGTAAAATAAAAGAGCCTATTGAAAATGATCATTTTGAATGTCCTGAAGAATATGATAAATACATTTTGGTTGAACATATAGATGCACAAAATGTAGTATGTGATAATAATGAAAATGACTTAAACCAATTAATGTCTGATTATGATACAGTTAATAAAATGATTTTGCAACAGTTTGAATCAAATCCAAGTTATTTTAAGTCGGCAATCAAACATTACACATTAGCAATGAAAGATAGTTTAACTTCTAAAGAATCTTTATTGAACACACTGCTTTCATTTGGAGAACAGTTGAAGGAAAAACACATATGAATTAAAAACATTAAAATTGTGTGAAAAAATTATAAAATTGTGGACTGTGGTAAGATTTTACCCACCTTTTAAAACTTATAAATTATGGTGATATTTAGGAGTTAAACTTAAAAAAAATACTTTTTACCAATTAAATGTGTTAACCACCATTAAATTAAATCATTTAAATAATTATATGATTGATACAATATTTTTGTATTATTTCAATAATAAGTTTAGTCAACAGCACCCACCTTTACATCAACCAAATATTTACACATTCATTTTAATTTAGAATTAATTGGGTTTAAAATCAAATAAATATAAATTTGAAAGTAATTATAAATATAATATTTAAGTACAACTTTTTGTATTTGTTTGATACTATGATTAATTATCATTTGTTTAGTAATGTATTATATAGATTTATAAATCAATCATTTAATTCAAATTTAGAAAATCTCACCAATTTGAAAGACCTTTTGAGTATTTTCAATTTATCTTCGATAATTTGTTAACACATTTTCTTTGTAATATATATATATACCTTTAAATAAAATACTACTTAACTTATAAATTATATCATTATTTATTAATTATTATTATGAATTAGCATAATACAACTATTTTTTTAGTGACATTATTATGTTTAAACAAATGTTCACCCATAATTTATTGAGTATAAAATTATATATTATTATTTTATTCTTTTTTAAAAGGTAGTCCTATTTATGAAACAATTGATTAAAAATGAACAGTCCTGTGTGGTGTTCATGTTTGATATGGTCACATTGCATTTACCAAATGAATGTTATGCTGTATTTAATGTGAGTATTTTTTATTTTTTAAACTTCAATTACTGAATGTTTTATGACTGTATTCAAAAAAAGAGTTTATGTGTCTTGTAATTTTCCGATGAAACGATAACTTATTCGATCGTTTCTTGTACGATCTTTAATGCTAAATAATTAAATCGCAATCCAGGTTTCAGTTGACTCGTTTTTAAATAATGGTTTTGATCATCAATTTTGGCGCGAAAAGTAATGGTGGGGAAAAAACGCGGCAAAATCATGTTGGCAACGATGCGGTGGATGCTGTCCAATCCCCGTGCCCGTTATTCTCGCCAATCGCGCGGCCTGTTAGATGCCCTGTCGGCCAATCAGCAGCCCCGTTACTGTCACCCGTCCGTGCAGTGTTCAATGACGTCGACCTCTCCACCACAAACAAACCGTCCGCCGTCGCCATTGTGTAATCGCTGCTGCAGTTCATTGTCGTGTTGTGGTCCGTCTCCGATCTCTCTCGTTGCTCTTTCTCGTTCATCACTCAACGGCCTTTCGTTTCGTCTTTTGATTTGTCAAGTCACAGCTCACGCGTAGTAAGTACCATCAGAACCTTGAATTTCAAAACTCCAAGCGAGCCGTTCCGTCAGCTCGAGAGCTTTCGCCATTACGCTATGTTTGTTTGGCCGTCTGGACCTTTTCTGAACGTCAACGGCTGGTCCGGGTTTTCGATTGATATTCTCACTAATATGGCTAGGATTTTGGCGTGACGTTTTGTTTTCGATGGACGCTCGCCCCCTCCCACCGAGATTGAGTTTTCTATGCTAGAACGCTGATAATTTTGACTTTCGAATATGTTTCAGTTGAACCATGGCTCGTACTAAGCAGACCGCTCGTAAATCTACTGGAGGAAAAGCTCCCCGTAAACAGTTGGCCACCAAAGCCGCCCGCAAAAGTGCACCTTCCACTGGTGGAGTGAAGAAACCTCATCGTTATCGTCCAGGTACTGTGGCTCTCCGTGAGATTCGTCGTTACCAAAAGTCCACCGAGTTGCTGATCCGCAAGTTACCGTTCCAACGTTTGGTCAGAGAAATTGCCCAAGATTTCAAGACAGACTTGCGTTTCCAAAGTGCAGCTATTGGAGCTTTGCAGGTATTATTGTGTTCCTAGAGCCTCATTTATATTATAGTTTTAACAATCTATTTTGATCATTTCAATTTAGGATTTTAGTTTGGTTTGAACTTAATGATTTTATATTTTGGGTATGTGACCATTTCAGATTAATAATTTTGTCATTGAATTGTATTTCTAACCTTTCACTTTTTAAATTAACTACATTTTTCTAATATCTAAATTTTTATTGTTTCAGGAGGCCAGTGAAGCATACTTGGTCGGTTTATTTGAAGACACCAATTTATGCGCTATCCACGCCAAACGTGTCACCATTATGCCTAAAGACATTCAATTGGCTAGACGTATCCGTGGTGAAAGAGCCTAATTCATCCATCACATTCCTCTCAACTGTATTTTTTTTTCGTTTGACAATTTTCCTGGGTTATCTTTTTACATATACATTTTTTTTTCTAAAAAAAAAATAACAAGAACTAGCTATACTATAAATATGTGTGTGTGTGTGTAATATTAATTTGTAGGAAACCTTATTTTTTTTTATACATATTTAATTATAAGTAAGTGTTCATTTAAGGAAACAATATTTTTGAGCGACAGTAGCAGCATTTTATAATACATATAGTAAATGTTATATTTCAAGTCGTTCAAAAAACTTCTTTTTTTTAATAACTTCATAATATACTTAATACATTTTGAATAAATAGGCAACTAAGTAAATTATATGTAATAATTCATTAATCATACAATTTAAACCATATTTAGTTATTATATGCTACTTTATGTTTTAATTGTAACAAATAATTCTGTTGCTTAAGAATTTAGTTTTCAAAATATAAGACATTTTTTTTAATTGTGGTTATATTGTTTTACTATCCGTACATACATAAATGCACATAATATTCATTTCTTTAAATAAATGTCATGAATTAATACATATAATCTAAGGTGTATATATTTTTCCTTAAATCTTCCAAATTGGATTCTACTTTTCTAGGCTGAGTATACAATTCTAAAAGATACCGGTATATTCTAAGTATAGTATTTATCATATTCCAACAATTTTAATATTTTTTAGTATCAAATTGCCTTTATTACAATAGATGAATTTATTATGTGAGAAAATTAAGATTGAATAAATAGTAAATTAGTATCAAAATATAGGTGTTAATAGTATGGCTTAATCCACTGGTAAATACTAATAAAAATTAACAATATTTTACTTCCCTATTGAGTATATAATAATATATTTATTTAAATGTATCACTCAGTAAATCATATTAGTACATCAATTAATCAGATACCATTGTAATAAAATATTAACTATTGTGTGCTTCGAAAAAACCTTGAAAAGTCCTTTGAAGTTTCGATTATTCATCTAGCTGAGTCAGTAAAGCGGGTTATATTAAAAATTTCATTTTCTGTTGTGTGATCGTATAATATTCAAATTGGTTTATGTATAGCTTTCAATTTTCACTATGTTTGTGCACTATATTTTGGGTTATCTGCAAGTAGATTGCCCAGACGAGGTGGGCCACTAACTGCATAAGCACTTTAATAGCTAATACAATTATAGATCATTTATCAGGTACTATTTAATATTAATTATTAATTAGTTGATATTATTTGACATTCTTTCATCAGAAATTGAAAACAAGTTATTCAAAATATTAAATGTATTAATAACTATGAAGTCACTGTGTAAAATCGAAATGCAAAAATGTATATTTTTTCGGTTAGTGTCCTAAAATATGTAAAATTACATTTTATTGCTCTATGTGAACTCTAGTGAATTGTCGTTCAGTATAACTAAATAGTATAGAAAATACCTACATACTTACATATATTTAATGGAAAAAGTTTCAAATTTTTATGATAAATATTTTTGGAATAAATTATTACAAAATATCATTTTTTATAATTTTGTTGAAATGTTGATCTACAATATAAACAAAAAAGAAAATGTGGCAGTTCTGCTTTGCTGTAGGTACATTAGGTTTGTGGGTGACTAATGGATGTTATAAATTTGAATTTTGAATTCATTGATAATTTCTGGGAAAAAATATGATTAAATATTAAATAAAAACTAAGCTAGGTGATATTTTTTACTTGGTAAAATGTTTTTGAATACATTTTTCTGTTTAAAATACCTAAGAGTTTTATATTAAAAAACAAAATATGTTTACATTTTAAATTATTTACATTGGTAAAATTTTATAGAATAAAAAATGATAACCTTCCTGTATTATCTATATAATAATTAGTTGTTTTTATAGTTTTATACTATTTTATAACGAAAATAGTGTTGATTATCAAGGCCTTAGGTACTATGTACAAAAAATGATTTTGAGCGAATTAGCGAAGACTATCTGTCAGCCTGCATTACTTACAGTGACCGATTTAAAGGGGGGCAGAGTGCCCTAATCCATGGCGAACCAACGTCTTACCAAAATTTGTGACGTTTACCTATGAGTTACAACTTAAAAGTAAAAATAACGAGGTTATGTGGATACCACTCTACTGTACATTAGGTGCCTAGAAGGTTGCTGTAATGGATGATATTAAATATTTAAATTTGAATTCAATGATAGAATATCGTATACAGACAACGATTTTGAGGGAGATGGTATGTTAGTCTATGATATTTTATATTGTTATTACTTATTAGTTATTATTAATGCGGTAGCTATTAAGTTGTATTAATATTATCAATGATGCTGGAAAAACATATTATATACTTACATAAAATTGGGATGTTTTGGAACCGAATTACAACAAAATGACTAAAATCGTTTTTATTTGTGTTAATATGTTATCTCATCTAAATTTGAATTCAAAATAACTATAAAATGCTGTGTTTATGTTTACTTTTTAGATTTTTTGGTTACCTACGGAATTGACTAATTAGGTAGAGCCTTCTTGTAATACATTTTCAATCTTTAGCCATAAAAGTTGAACATTTAATACATTTTTAACTATAAAATCATTTAAAATATTTTTTAACTGATATGGTAACAATATATGAGAAGCTTTGTATTCAATTTTAATGATATTTTAAATACAAAAAAAATTGAAAATGTCCGTTAACAACACAAAACGAGACAAAACACTGAAAATTACATCAAGTATATGAATTGATAAAATAAAAATATTTTGCAAATTTCAAGTACCTATCGGCAGTTATTCGTTTATTACACTTGCAAAATAAGAAAATCACCACATGAGAAATCTAGTGAATGTCCAATGATATAAAAATGTTATTTTTGACTTTCCGATAGAATTTCTTTTTTTATAAATGTAGACAAACTTATAAGGAATCATCTTGTATACAATTTTCAAAACTCAGATATGAAAAGAAAATTTTTTATGAATTTCTAACTTAAAATAAATTGCAAATTTTCGTATTTTTCGAAATCTATAGGTACGTATTTTGTTGAATTTAAAATTCGTACCCATAAAAATTATTGTGGAATTAAACTCAACTTTAATTTCCACCAACTCCACTTTTTAAGTAACCTTGTATTATATTTTCAAGTTTTTTGAAAGAGCTAATATTTTTTTATAGATATCAATCGTAAAATTTCATATTCCTATTAATAGGTCAATATGTTGATGACTCATACCATGAGTTAAAATATTTTGAAGATGTTATGGTGTATAGAAATGGTAACAGAAATTGAAAATTGTATGTATTTATGGTCATTTTATTCAGAGTTACACTAAAAACCAATATCGATTTTTTCGAAAACTGGTTTTGAGTAAAAATTCCAGTTTTTCTTTAATTTTTGTTTGTTTTCCTGTCGCTTTTGAAAACCTTTGGGAATTTCAAATTTTGACCTCCCAAATGCATTAACTAAATTCACTTTCCTACCAGAAAAGTTGTTGTTATACTACCCCAAACCTTGATGACAGACAAAAATTAAAAATACATATTTGTAAAATTCAATACATTCACCGCCCCGCTTAGAACCTAAAATGTCAGGTTTCTGAATCGCATATTGGTATTCCTTTTGATACTTTATACATATATTTTTATTCATAAGTCAATCTTGAATTTAACGTGTAACATCTTATCTTATCAGTTACCTCCAATTAGAAGTACATTTTGAAATGACATATTAAACTTTTTTATTTTTTTTATTTGCAAATAAGTAATATACAATCTGTACCAAATGACACAATAAGCATATAGGCTCAGAGTAAAAATATGACATGATAAAATTGAAGAAAGAAGCCACCCATTGGCGACACTTTCACAGGAGAGTTTACAAGTTAGTTAATTAAAAGAACTCGGCACCACTTACGCTTTAGGCGCCTTGGGGGATTTCCGGGTATGGTAAAAGACGCAAGGTTCTTGATTAGAGGATTATTGTGAAAGTTTGTTCTGGCGTGAAATCGTTTGTAGTAGGCCTTGGCTTCTTCGTTAAGCGTTTTTAGATTTAGATCTGTGTGGAGTGAGAGATTTGATACATAAGGAGGGGCATTCGAGAGTTTCCTTATGGCGATATTTTGGAACGTTTGAATTTTATTTAGGTTCGACTTTTTTTGCGTTTCCCCATAGCTGAATCCCGTAGAGCCAGATAGGTTTGAGCAGGGATTTATAGATGAGCAGTTTGACATTTAGAGAGGAGTGTTTATTACTATGAAGCAGAGTTTTTAGCATTCTTAGTCGGTAATTTAAAGTCAGCCTTTTGGATTTGATGTGAGAGGCCCAGGTTAGTCTGATCGAATGTGAGGCCCAGGAACTTAACTTTTGATGAGGAGGTGATTGAGGTTCCGTATAAGGTGACGCTGGGGCAGGGGGCAAGTCGGAGAGTAAAGGTTGTATGTATCGATTTGTTTGGATTAACTTTAAAGCGCCAATTTGTAAAGACATATTAAACTAAACATAATATCTAGACCGAAGATGGATATTTCCCAAACATACGGCCACTATTACTAATTTCTGGCTGTCTGTTGTATTACCAATGGCTACATCAATAATTGAGACATTTTTTTTCCTCTTTAAAAATAATTAAATTGTATTTGACAACGACGATGGTAGAAAATCGTTTGTGTGGGTGATCATTATTAAATATTTATCATAAGAATGAAGTAAAACCAGATCATAGGCATATTATATAAAACAACTAGATGACCGACTACAGGATAATATTGAAGTCAGCAGTCATATCCATATGCCAACAGGACAAAATTCCAGGAGTGATAATATTAATATATGTATTATGTATATTGTATATACATTCGTAATATATATGTATCATATAAATATGTATAGGTATCTTATCTATTGAGTTATTTTGTAAGCATTGCCGAATTGACATATGTGGTCGCACGGGGCACGACTTCAACTTTCCTGCGGGAGTGTAATATGCAGTTCGCTATCTAGTTGTTATGCATATGTCTATGAGCGAATGAGCCACAATAAGTAAAGAATATACAATGTGGTCATTTTTTTAAATAGAAGCCTAAAGAATATTTTATATAAGAGAATCTATTGATTTTAGATTGTGAGCGGAGCGATGATTGTATTGATTTTACAATTATGTGAATTTTTAGATTTTTTTTTTTTTATGTGTCCGTCATCGCGGTTTCTTGCAGTAAAAGTGCTTCGATTTTAACAGAAACTTTTAGGCAGGAAAGTGAATCCAGTTGATGCATTCGGCAGGTCAAAATTTAAAATTCCCAATAGTTTTCAAATGCAAGAGGAAAAACAAACAACAAATTAAAGGAAAACGGGAATTTTTACTCAAAACCAGTTTTTGAAAAATTCGATATTGGCTTTTAGTTTAACTCTAAAAAAAATGACCATAGATACATGCAATTTTCACTGAATATTTTTGTTAGCATTTT